CAGTTGACCAAGTGTTGGAATTTATGCTTAAGCGATGTGGCTGAGAACACGACTACAACTTTTTTCGGTTCTTGATCTCCTTTGAAAAATTTGATTTAACTAAAGTTAGCTATTTCGGGTTCTGGCGTGGGAATCTAACAGAAAATTTAATATTTCAAAAGTGCCCGTTTTTTGCCATGCTGCTAATTTTTTTTTTTTTTCATCTTCCTCGTGGGAAAGACGAATGATAAACAGCTATGGTTCACTGGTAACCCAAACGAAAATTATAACCTGCATATTTACATAAAAATAATGATTTATAAGGCGCTGAACTTTGAAGAACCTTGTAATGGCGAATTCGCTCTCGTTGAATGGAATTTTTGCAAACGTCTATTACGATTTTATTGCTGTCATGAAATTTTGGGAAAAATGCACTTGAAAATAGAAAGATAACTCATTAATAAACTTACCACGGTGCAAAGAAATCCACGATTGCAAGGTTTGAAACCGTAAGATAATTATCGAAGGTATTTTCCGTCAGTTCTTCAACTAAAGTCCCTTTTTGGGTCTCTAACGATACAGCGAAAGCTGCAGAAATTACGATCAAAGCAACGGAAAACTTCATTTTTTCCTGATTATAGAGAGATGAACTACAACGTCTTTCAGTGTTGTGACCCTCTGTGCAATAATGGTTGTTGCACACGTTTCTGAGCGTAACCTTACAGATATGTGCGAACTGTGATTAGACCAGCAGCACCGGTAATGTTTTTAACTTCTATGTGCTGTGTCAGTGCTATGAGACAGTGACCACCAGAAGCACCTGCATAAGCTATTAGTTGTATATTCACAAGCATTATCCATTGTTAAGCAGCTCTCAAGGTCAGTTAGAGATAAGAAATGCTGAATTTACGCCTCATGGAAATTCTAGGAGTCTTTCGATCCAAAATGGATCGATCGAAGCCGGAGTAGTGGGGAGTTTTAGAGAAAGAACTCTGTTGTGCTCCTTACTTTTGTGCTACCAGTCACTTATCCTTTGATTTAAGTTTTAGAAAGAAATGACGAAATTTTAGGCTAAATTGTGTTAATGGATATTCATTAAGAGAAGATGACTTCACTTGTGTCGCTTTCTTATCGACATCAGAGACACCAATTTGAACGCTAAGACAGGTACGGCCTCGAGTGGAATTTTCCAATTTATTGAGATAATGGGCGCGTGCGAAACGCCGCTTTTTTGGCGGGAAGAAAGCAATAGCCGTCATGATTATAGGACGAGCCTTAACCAATTCTTACATTTTACGTGACGTCACATACCCTTACCTTTCTTGTGCACTAACCGTATTGGTGTGCAGTGATAAAAGCAAGATGCTGGCTTGTTGGAGTTTTTTATTTTTTTTTAATTTTTCAGTCAGAAAAAGGCAAATTCACTATAACAACACCTCTGCAAGCCTTGTTACTCACTGAGTTTAAAAAAGTTTATTTTCCCTTAGATTTCGCGCAAAAGTTAACTTTAAATTCGTACTCACGGTTGAAATGTTCCTAGAATCTAGAGGTCTCTAGTCTCAATGCGCGAATTGATCTCGTACCCAGTCCATGCAGCTCAGGAACGCACAGGAGCATGAATGTCTCGTTTCTCTCTCCCGTTTGGTCTGGAAGCCAACAACACTTTGAAAGTCACAGTCCTCAGACACAGTTATTACTGTTGGCGAAAGTTATTACTGTTGGCAGTAAAAGATATATGTGCCATCAACACTTTTGAAAAATTGCTTAACATTTTATTTAGCGAAGTATACTACATCACTATTGTTTTCCGCAACTATAACTGATATGTCTCTATATGAGGTATTAAATTTGTTTCCCCGCTGACCACTCGTACTTCGGTCTTTTCTTCATCCCCCACTCGTCGCCCGTGATGTAGTAACTCCCACCATAAAATCCAGCCTACAATTCTTAATTGTGCGAACCGTCGGTAAGTCTGACCATCCATCGAAACTGAACAACGCAACGCTCTGTGAGTATTTAAACGTTTGTGTTGTGTTCTTCAAACGCGAAACGACTCCACTTTAAGGAAAGACCTTAAATACACATCGACTAAACTGTAACTAACAAGAAAATGACAACACGCGGTTTTGAACGAAAATGGACATTAATAGATTCTTTGAGTTAGTAAAGTTGATTAACTTAACAGTTTGCTAATACATCTCGCTTTTAAATACCTCTCATCGTTGATTGTGAATATATGATGATTATACATGTGTACTGCCTTTTTAAGAAATGAATATGAAAGCGATCTTCGCATAATGAACACTTCTTAGGGTTACTTCCCGCCTTCAGAGGCCGAAAAATCGTTTTTCCTTTTATTTGACGAAACCGACTTTTAGAAAAACGTAATTTCAAGTAAAAGCTAACGAGTCAGGAAGATGACTTGTTATCTCGTAACTAGGCGAATCCCCTGGGAGACCGCTCATCTTGAGGCTCGTTTTTCATGCTATCTGCATATCTAGTTTTCAACGCGCCCTTGACAAAATTTACTTGTGGAAGCTCTTTGCTTCTGGAAAAAAGCTTTGCTCGTGGACAAATCAAAAGCAGAAGAAAGTCCTTGGTAAAAAAGACAAAACAAAACAGGCCCAATGAAGAAAGAGTAACTTCTGTCTATGAAAGAAAAACATCCCTGGGGATTTCGATCAAATAAGTCGCGTCAAAGCAATATTTTCGTGCATAATATAAAGTTAAAAGAGAGATTTACTTTTATTTATGCAAGTTCTGGCCTTGGTACAAAAATATTAACAATCGCCTCGAATCGTGATTTTGAAAGCTATCTGTCGATTTGTTGTCTTGCTTATATCTCGAGGGATCGAGATATAAAATTTTAGTTTCTTGTAATCTTGATCCATCGTTATTGACGCCAGAGGGTTCTGTTGTTCCATTGGTTTGCGGTTTCAGGAGGCAAGATACTCTTTTGGCGTGGCGCAAGTTGATTGCGAACCTTTATGAGCTCAAGTGTCGTATTTGATTTTGGGAGGAATACATCTAATATGACCGATTTTCGTCAAATTTCGCCTAAACATTCTACGAATGGTGACAAACGAAAGTGTGTCGGGAAATTGATATTTGAAATATTTGTCCCGTGGCGTCCATTAACGCAACACGCTACTCCAACTCCAAATGCCGATATCTAGACAACAAATCAGAATATCGAAAAAGCCTGACCACATGATTGATTTCCGTGTGGTCAAAGTCTTCATGGCGTTGTATGAAACAAACACTGCTTTAGTGATAAAGCAGGCGATGTGCGCACTCTGATTGCGTGGCATTATGGTTGTAAAACGATTGTCGTGGTCGAGTGAACATCTCTAGTGGCAGCAAGATAGCGTAAATAAACGTGGAATTTATTGGAAATTCACTGTCTGTTGCCGTTCCTTCGAAAGTTAAAAAAGTGTTTGCGGGCCTGTGCGACTCCTGTTATTCCTCCGTGACAAATTCGTTGTTAGGAGGCAATTGAAGAGATTCAGAAAGAATCGAAACTGCAGGCTTGCCCGAGAATCTATTCATTTGGCAGCAGTTTCACACACAGCCGATGGCTGAGTGAATAATATCAAATTCGCGAGTTATTTAACGGGGAATCGTCCCTTAACATGCAAACGCATTCCAAAGAGGCAGCGACCTTCTAATACACGAACTATTTTCCATGTCACACTTAAAGGCGTGAATGCGGGATTCGCGAAAGGAGAAGCCTTACACCTCCTAACACCAAATTCGTCACGCTCAACGTTTATTAAAAAACATAAAGAGTTTCAAATATGCTTAAAGATTAGAGAATATCTAGAATAAGGTTTTGACAAACGTATCTCTGGAGTTATTTTCTGCGGGAGAGACTGATACTTAAAAAAAAAAATGGCGGGCACACATGAAAATATTACCTTTTGTAACACAATCTCATCCAGCTTTGCCAAACCTCAATGACATACAGATGGGGAAATGACACCTTAAAACTAACCCTTAATATCACATCGTAAACGGAAGTCATTAAAGGATATCCTAATAACAGCTAAGCTTTCAGGTTAGAAGATTTAAAAGCGCAAGCGAATGGCAGGAGTCGCTCAAACAATCAACACCTTTTAACGATCAACTACCTTTTGCTTTCCGGCCTACCAAGCGTGTCGCCGCGCGCATTGAAGAGTTATACATTGGTCAAGTGATTCGTTCATGGCTCAAATTCAACTGTCCTTCATTCAATGATCAAGATAGTAGATTTACCATACAACACTCGCGATAAGTTAATTTCCTTTTACTTAGGAAAGTAGATTTACAACACAATTGAGTATATAATAGTAACGCTGTGTAACGCAACAATAAGCCTTTTCTCGGCCATAATCGGTCTCAAACACCTGCACTTAAAATGCGAGAAACACATCTACCGTTGGAGAGCGTTTGAGAGCGTTTGGTCAGAGCTGTTAAAAAAGGATTAAACCAGCCATCCAAATCTTTGAAAGGCTCCAAACTACGACGTACATCAAATTTTGATCTTCTTGAAATCTGGTCTCAAATTACATACAAAAAACAGTGATCGCGTTTGTCCTTGAGAACCATAGAATACGAGACAAATACGAACAAAAAATGCTTTTACACATTTAGAATAAATCAAATTACATTTACCTATAGTAAAAGAAAAAAGGAACAGCCCAACTTTTACGAAATGTTCAGTAAAAATCTGCCGTATTCTGCTGCTTTCACCGCCATATTGAAATTGAAGCTACCACAATGCAACGTAATCGGAGTGCGCACGCCGCCTGGCGATAAAGTTTCTCACAGTGGCGAAAACGTCCGTGGGTACGAAACAAGCGAGTACTAAACAGACAGTGCAACGCGGTATTTTGTTTTTATGGAAAAGAAAACGCTTCACTTTTTTTTTATTTAAGAGAACATCGCTTTTAGAGCCGTCATTAGTACATTTTTCTATTCTGATCACCATCTTCATGGTGTTATCAGAAAAAAACATCGCTATAGTGATTAAGATTTCTCAACTTTATTGCCTATATACAATCTGTGATTCTAATCTTTAAAGTATTTGTTTCTTCGGACGACTAGACTCTTTATTTCGGGCAACATGACACAGGTGCCGGGCGACTTGACATCGGGTGAGATGACTCTCGGGCGATTTTACTTGTTACCGTTGGTAGAGTACTGCACCGGTATCGTATAGGTCATGGGTTCAAATCCCGTACACGACTGAATCTTTTTTTTCAGGCCTTATTTTCACTATTGCTTAAGTACTGTTCATTTCTGTAACTATCCCTTTCACATTCGTTATCTGTATTGTTTTCCTCTAACAGGGCCGCTCTGGAAATCACGTCTGTGACGGTAAATGGTCACGCAAGGGTGAAAAGCTACATAACCAAACAAGAAATCATTGTATTTTGATGACGTAGGACATGTCGACCCTTGTCTTTTCCTCGGTTTGGAGACTGTCTAATCCCCTTTGGCGTTCAGTCAGAAAAATGTCAGTATGTTTCTCGTCATCCCAAACGTCTTCGACCAAAGACAGCATTTTTGAACGAATACCTAGAGAGAAGCTGGTGCCGAATATCAGGTCGGGGCTTCGAGACAGGGAGTTCCTCTCTGGCTCTGTGGATGGAGGTTTCCCAGAGTTCTTAGGAGTACCAGGTGACTCTTTCCCCCTCGGATTGCGAATCATTAACGGGAATCAGTTCTCTCTGGGAGAGTTGAGTGCAAAATGTATGGAATACGTGCAGGAAAACAACTCTCAAAGCCCTGCGATCGTGTTTCGCGGATTACCTGCAAAAACGGCAGAAGATTTCTTGACTATAACCCAAGCTATCAAGGGGAAACCTCTGAGTTATGCGGGTGGTAACGTTCCCAGGCCGCGTGCCATAGAAAACTCTGAGATCTACCAAGCTACAACTGAAGATCAAGCTGTAACGATCGAATTGCATCATGAAATGGCATATAGTAGTTCCTTTCCATCAAAGGTACTTTAAACCTCTCTCAGCTCTCTCTTTCTGTAAGTTAACTGATTCAAAATTCAGGGGGGGAGATGAAAAGTGCACGTTGTTGACCACCTTAGTCACCTTACAGAAAGAGGTGTTGAACGTGGTAAATTGAAAATTAAGAATTATTTTCTGATTGGGATTTTGACATTATATTAACCCAAAACGAGCCTGAAAATAATCGAAAATATGAGTAGGAGGAATTTTCCAGGAAATTCCTGTTTGAGACTAACTTTTACCAGATCAAATTACTTTCTTCTTCGTCAAGCGGATTGAAATATATTTCACCGCAAGTCCCAATTACTGTCAAAACTAAACATTTGCTTTCATGTCAAATTCGCGACAGGAGAATATAGAATTTGGCTAAAATCAATAACGGCTTAATATGATAAACATTTGTGGAGTTAAATGGACTTTTTTCTCTCAGAAAGAAAGGATGAAAATCACTCTACTTACAAAGTTGCACGCTAAGCAAAATAAGAAATTATCAACTGACTTGCAATATTTCTTAACTGAATGGTTATGCTAATATACTATTTCCATTCATTTTCCCAACACCAAGATAAGGAAGCTCTTATGTAATACTTCTAGATATGATATGGTTAATTTTATCGTTTGACAAGTTGAACAATATTACCATAGTTACAGGAGTCACTCTGTTGTCAATTTTAGATGTCTTGCTCTTGAGCAGCTATTGGCACAATAGTGTAAAAAATCCATTTACGAAAAGCGAGGCCGGAGTCCAAACTCCGTAGAAAATATGTAATAAATGTGTTAAATGAACCACAACATTTGGCTAAAATAAAAACTCCGAAATGTCTTAAGATTCCGAAAAAAGGGGTAACAAATTTGCACGAACGAAACAACTAACAAAACTCGGTAAAAAACAAACATACAAAAATACGCGAAAAGCGTCCACGTCAGTTTTCCAATGTCAAGGTTAGAGTTCTTTGATGTGATTGGCTAATTTGTGAAAACACGCACGCCGCGCGTGATTAGAAAAAGATTACAAAATGAGGAAAGGAAGAGAAAAAATGTTACTTGAAATTTAAAAACGAAAGAGATTTTCTAAAAATACATTCGAATAGGAATGTTTTTATTATTGATTAGGTTATTTATTTATTTCTCCATTTATTTATTTATGTATTTATCTTTGTTATTAGTCTTTTACATTAGGAGTCTCTTTCTTTCCAGGTGTTCTTTTTTTGCTTGCAAGAGCCCGCAGACGGTTGTGGTGGTGAGACACCGCTGGCCAAGAGCAGCGAAATTCTTCTCAAACTGGATCCTGAAGTCGTGAGGAAGTTTCAAAGTAAAGGAGTGAAGTACGCAGGTTATTGGCCCGACAAATCTCGCGCAGAATACATGAGCTGGCAGCAGCAGTATTACACTGATAATAAAGAGGTATTGGCATGAAAAACGATACTGACAACCGTACCCGTTCGTTATCTTTGATTGCGTATTTGTCATTCACAGCGGGAATAAATTTTTAAGACCGAGAGTGTTATCTAAAATTGCAAGAGAAGAAAGACAAAATCATAAATTTTTGTGGATGTGCAAGGCATAGAAAAAAACGTTCGAGATAACTAAAGTGCGGAGTTCAAAGTGTGTAAAATTGTCTTTAACTCAATTTCCCACTGCTAAAAGTTCGAGGATCTGGGTACTAATGTAACTGACGTTCTGAATTTATTCTCAATTGTACAAACTGGTGATTTTTTAAATATCTTTTGGGTTTTTTTTCTTAGTCTTAGTTAGAAATCACAAATACAAAGTACGGCTCATTTTCATTCGTTTTATCTATTAAGGAGGCGGAAAAGAAAGCCAAGCAACTTTATGACACGGTTATATGGGACGACAACGGTGATATGCACTGGTCCAACGTGAAGCCTGCCTTCCTTCGTCATCCGAAAACGGGAGAAGATATCTGGTTTAACCAAGTGACAATCCACCATCATACCTATTATAACTCATTGCCAATGTTCAAGAGCATCGAGCTCCCGCCCCACAAATATCCATGTACGGTCTATTATGGAGACGGTAGCACCATCGAGCCTGAAGTGATCCAACACTTGAGAGCTGTGTCATGGTCATGCGCAGTTGGATTTCGGTGGAGGAAGGGTGATTTGTTAGTGTTGGATAATCTGACTGTTCAGCACGGACGAATCGGCTTCACAGGAAAGCGAGAAATACTAGTGCATTTGATGACTGACTGAACGTCAGTGCTTACGAGATGTTTTATATCAAGTCTTGATCACGAAAAATTTCCCAGTGTTTTGACTTTGAATCATTTTCTCTTTCAATTGTAAAAGTAACATTCAACATATAGATGATGATTTTGATATCTTTGACACTCTTTTGATTAAGTGTCGGACAGAAATCAAATCTTTACTGGCCGATCAGAACGAAGGTCTAACGCTTGATTCCTGAAGGGGACTCCCCAGGTTTTTCTTTGTCCCGCGCTAGTGGTATGACGAGTACACATCTTTCTCGGATGAAATTGCACTTTCATTTGAAAAAAAGAGAAATCAACTACAATTCACTTTGGTAACGAGACAAAACCCGGGTAATTTGGAAAAGTCGGCTTGCCTCCAAATATCCAGACCCGTTAACCCATTATCTCCCAGAAGTGATTAACATGTATCTTCTCCCTATAGTATTTATACATTATCCATCAATGAGGTAGTGAGATTAACCTGACTTATCAGGTACAAGATATTATCTTGATTAAACACCAAATTCTCGTAACCAATTTACAAGGAAATTTGTAGCAGCTGGTGGGGAGATTTAACAGTCAGATCTTGGGGGTTAAAGGGTTAAGTAAGCGAAAAATGAAAGTGTTTGTTTTCCTTAGATCTTCACACAGCATTATCAAACTTATAAAGTGGATTTAACATTTTTTATCTTATACTTAAAAAAATTCCGCCTATCTCCACTGATATGGTATAATACTCTTAATAGAGCGTGGTAGTTTGCAATGAAATTTCAGCACTTTCTTGAATGTATTGTTCGAAATCAAGGGAGGATAGATCATCTCTTAATTTCGGACAACAATTTTCTTCTTCCCCCCATTGAATCTTTTTTCGTGTTTTATTCTTCTCCTCCCCCATTGAATCTTTTTTGTGTTCACGCGCCACGCTCGTGATCTGATTATTTAGCCAATCATATTCAGAGACTGAACTTGACACAATCTGGGATACTTGTTTTCGAAGTTGAATTGAGTTTTGCAATTTTTGTTTTCTCGAGTTTCCACTCGGTTTTGTTTTGTGTTTAAGACGTTTCGAGTTTTTTAAAAGTCAAATATCGTATCTAAATCAATTTTTTTGTAATAACACCTCTAATGACGAAGATTTGTCTCCAACCTCAACGGGAAATAATATTTCTTGAAGTCGGCAAACGGAACAATTTCATTGACACTGAGCTATTGCAAATTGCCTATAGAGATAGTGTAGAGGTCCAGTCTTATACGCAAGTTCAACTCCAATGCGTTCTTCATGATCGCAACACATCCATGCTATGATTCAGGAAACCGGTGGCCTGCGAGACCACACCTCATTGTTAGCGCTTCAAGACTTCACGCCGGCCCTCGTCCCTCAAGGCTTCTCTCCTGCAGGAAAAGGAACATAAAAAGACGATGAGTCCGGTTCAATTTTAACCTAAAAAACACATCATTTGCTTCAGCTTCAGTTAATTTGCATCCAGATCCCCCCTTTTCCTCTGAACATTTGAGAAGAAGAGGTTGTGCATGAGCAGGGTATTTTTGTTCTGATCGATCAGATCTGAGTTTAAGCACTAAAACAGACGTGAATCTCTGTGTCAGAAAAGTCCCCAATTGATCGATGATTGATCTGTTTCGTTAAGCGACTTTCTTTCTCTCTCAGTTTTTTTCTCTTTTTGTCTTTCTTTTTTTTATTGGTGTTTTGTGTTTGTGCGTGGGTTTTTCTGTGCAGTCGCTAATGGTGCTCTCGGATTGGGACCAAAACTGGGGCCAAGACTCCAATGCGATAGATACGGATGTTTAGTACTGGATCTAGTATTACGAAATGCCCAACACACATGCGTCAGCGGAATACGAAGAGAAACTGATTATTTTCACGAGGAACTAGAGTCTCTTTGAGAGAAATCCAATTTCGGCCTTAGTTATGGTCAAGGAGACGACACTTTACGGTAAACTTTTGAATTAACTCTTACTTAGTTAGCTTAGTGTTGTTTTCCTTCAAAATTTTCGTCTTTAATGAGGAGATCGTCAAGATAATTATTCGCCGGGTGTGCTCCGGTCCGCATGGACGCATGACAACGGATCTTGTGAGAGGCAATTGTAACAGGAATGTAGAATTTGATCCCTAATTCTTCTTTCAGAAACTCTTGGCGTAGATCCGTCTGCTACCCCTAGTGAAATTAAGAAAGCTTATCGTAAACTCGCCTTGAAGTATCATCCGGATAAAAATCCAGATGCCGGCGACAAAGTAAGTAACATTTAGCCTTGTGCAATCAGTTTTTCGAGGTTTACTTTTGGGCTTTACTTCTTCACAATGCACCTTTTTTTTTAATCAAGAAATGTGTACCGTATTCAGTATTTTTGCTATTTTATGATAGCACATAAATGATTCTAGTCCAGTGTTCCTTAATTGTAAATAAAGATTTTGTTGATTGATTAAAATACATAAGGACTTTGTTTGCATCTACATAGTTTGATCAATACAGATCTAACTCGTAGCTACCAGTGGATCTTAATTGTATGAAGTGTGTACGCTCATTCGATTTATTATCGAAAAACTACGCTGTAATCAGAGTTAAATCTTTTTAATCCTCTTTAGTTTAAAAGGCACGTCTTGATTATCCAATTGTAGTGCGGTTAGCTACGACTTACAGATGTGTCTGTTCATATGTAAGCAGTTCGCATTAAATTTGGCCGTTGCAGAAATGAATCTTTGACTGCGCATTACATATTCTTCTAATTTAAGCGTTGATTAAATATTTACGGTAGAGGTATGGATATTTTTGGAAACTGTTAGAAATGTATTTAAAGTGAAATTGCCGAGATAGCTTTATCATACCCTAAAGGCTTGTGTGTTTACTACAAAGAATATTTTTAACAACGAAACCATCAAGAAATTTACAGCATAAGTCAAAAAATTTTCAGTTTCATGTTTGAAACTTAATTGTCTGACTTAAAATGATATTTGTAAAGATGCTTGTCTGCAGATATTATCTACCACAGAAGGGAAGCTGAAAACTCTGGGTAGTCTTTAGCTTGCCACATTCTGTTGGTTAAATTTATTCTTGCCACCCATTTTGTGATGTTTTAATTGATCTCAAGAGACAGTAAATAAAATAAAATGAAAGATAATTAAAAATAGAAGGAGGCCATTTAAATGTAAACTTAAACATGTAGTGACTGAGGAGCAGCAATTTCTGCTTCCCAAAAACTGCAAGATATTCACCTTTCCTGTATTTATGTACAAGGCAATGTTTGTGAGGGGTGAATTCATCTCCATATACAAGAGATGTTTTCTTAACACCTGAGAGGTTTTAATTTTTTTGTCATAGCAATGGTTAATCTTAATGTGAAACAAAATGGAAATTGTTAAATGTGCACATAAGAGTACATGGTTAATGTTCTGATTACAGCCCAAATGACCCATAGCTTCTGTCACTGGTGCAGGAAATAGCATTCCAAAATGTTTAAGATCACTTCTTAAGTAAATTATACTGGGCTCAGTGCACTCATCATTTTCAAAATAATTGAGTCCTAGACATGGCAAATGTGTAAACTTGCTCCACACATATTTTTACTGTTCACATTTGCTATTGCCAGACATCTTGTTTTTATAGGTAATCACATGATTTTGAGTCCAATTTGGAATAAATGAGCACAAGTAAATTTTTTGAAAGACTAACAAAATTGCATGAGCCTGTAGAGCCTGTAGAAGCAAAGCACACACATCAAGTGCAAAAATAGTTTATTCAAACCATGGGAGTGACCTTGTCACTCACTCATGCCCATTATACTGTGTGGCACGTAGGGCGGCAAAGTGACCTTGTGCATACGGTCAAAACAACTGTGTACAATCAAAACAATAATATATGATGATATTTTAGCATTTTTAAGGCACAAAATTGTTCAAAGTCCGGCTAAACAGTTCAAGGAATTGTTCAGCCTGGTTTGTTACTTCTTTGCACTGAACTAATGCTTTTCTTCATTGAATTACCTGAAAACTGCATTTATCTTAGCCAATCAGAACTGAGTAATTTTGTCATAAATCCTATTATTTGTTTAATTGAATGATTTAGTTTGCAAGTTAATCAGTTGAATGGTCATTGTATGAATAGTTCTTTTTCAATCAGGTTTATTTTCAAATAATTAAGAATTGCTGCAGCCTAACCTCCATGCTCATTTCACAATATTTAGCATATATCTTATAAAGATGCATTACTTTTTTGTATCTAGAAAAGCAAGACATTGTGACTTATTCAATTACACAATAGGGTAAATTAAACTGAACAGCTTTGGACTGTTACTTAGTTAACTTTTTAACTCTTATGGGTGACCAAAACAGAATTTCTCCTTACAATATCAATACAATGTCAAGCAGTCAGGTGATGAGAATTAAAAAAATATATCAATTTGCTGATTATTAGTTGATCCAATATCATTTTCTCAGAACTAACATTAGAAGAATTGTATGAAAGGCAGTAAGGAGAATTACAAAGGAAATCTGGGAGTGAAAGGGTTAATCTTGATATAACTCAGAACTTAATAAATTTCAGGTTATTATGACATTGCTATTCATGATAGTTCCTGTTTGCATCAAACTTTGTGGTTTGGTTTTGGTTTTGAAAAATTATTTATCTTATCACAGGTTATATGCATTCATAAACGTATGCACACATGAGTTTTATTCAAAGCACTTCTAAAGGAATTACAAAAAGAATCGCATAAATGTAAAGAATGCCTCAAAAATGGAGTGTTTATGGTGGAATCTTAAAATAAACTCCTCAAAGCAATAGGAGGTACTTAAAACCCACTAAAATTGGGTGCCTGGATACTGACTTGGGCAGATTGTTCTAATGGTTTACAATCTTAACAGGTTGAAGAAACAAGGATATCTGTGTACGGGATGCAAATTCATTGAACTATTTTATTGATTTTTTTTCTACAGTTTAAGCAGATTTCCCATGCCTATGAAGTATTGTCCGATGAAAAGAAAAGGAGCATTTATGATGAAGGAGGAGAAGAAGCTCTTAATGGTGGTCCGGACATTGGTGGGTTCCATTCCCCAATGGATATTTTTGACATGTTCTTTGGCACAGGGCATGGACATTCCAGAGCACGTCAAGAACGTAAAGGAAAGGATATGATACACCAGCTCAAGGTACACGTGGCTCACTTAATCATGAAATTTCATCCTGAAAAACGTTTTTAAAATGTGTTTAGCTGTTGGCAGGATTTGTATGGGTCCTGAAAAATCTGGAAAGTCATGGAATTTGATATTGACATTGGAAAGTGATTTCAGATCCTGGATTGTCCTGGAAATATGCTTAACTCAAGAACTCTAAAGATTTCAGAATTGAAGTTATAACAATGGTATCTAAAGCATTTGGAAAACTGATTTTGAAATCTTGGGAATGAAAGGGATTGAGGTGAAATTTTTAGTCCTAGAAAATTCAATCTAAGTCCTGGAAAAGTCCTTAAAATTTGTTTCTGAAAGAAGGTACAAATTTACTGTGAAACTTAGAAATTGGTGAACTCAAGAAACATGTGTTGAACCGGGGTTTCAATAGATTTTAAGTGGCTGTGGATGGGGAAATAGGCAGCTGTGTTGTAAGGTGAAACCCAAACACAAGAGCCTGCCTGCAGGCTAAACAGACCGCTGTTAGAGGTCTGTAGCCATTTAACTCCCAGAGGTGATGAACATGTAACTTCTCC